GTAGTTTACACTGTCATTAACACTAGAGTTCAGTTCTGTATTATCCTGACCAGTATAGTCAGTTGTATAGTCTTCGAAATGCTTTGGTCTGTGACGCTCCCTCTGTGGACGTGCTTGGCCACCTGCAACTCCAGCATCTGGTGCGGGTGGCGCTGGGTGATCCTCACGGTCTTCTGTATCTGGAGTGGGCTGTGTGTCAACTTCAGGAATTTTGCATGGGACTAAGTCAGACTCAACGTCATTCACAAATTTCTCACATCTGACCCTACATACAGTTTTAGACTCTGGTGAGTACACTACATATGCAGGAGAGTTCCTATCATAACCTACGAAGTAGCCTGGATCACATCTTGCATCAAGCTTAGACTTATGACCTTCAATGTAAAAATAACAACTTGCACCAAATTTATGTAGGTTACTCAAGTTTGGTTTTTCACCTGTAAGAGCCTCAACTGGAGTTTTACCAAGTCTAGGATTATAGCACCTATTCCTAACATAAGCGGCAGCCATTATAGCATAAGTCCACAGACTTTTAGGTAATTTGCTTTCTAACAACATACACCTAGCCATTTCAAACAATGAGCGCCATGCCCTTTCTGCCGTACCATTCTGATGTGGAGAATGGGGCGCTGAGAACTCATGTTTTATTTTGTTTTTACGCATGAATGACTTATACTCATTGCTACAATATTCACCAGCATTGTCTGATCTTAGTGTTTTAACGTTACCATAGGGAGAGGAATCCGCTAAGAATTTCTCACTTGCTAACAAGGCATCACTCTTTTCTTTTAAGAAATACACAAACGTTGCACCTCTGTAATCGTCAACAAAAGATATACAATAACTGAAACCTTCTTTAGCGACGGGCGTGACTGGCCCGGCTAAGTCACTGTGTACAGGTTGCAATGGTTTACTGGCCTTTTTATCTGGCTCCCTGTTACGATATTTTGTCATTTTACCTTCTACACAGGTGTTACACTCAGAAGCATTTTTGTCAGTAATTTTCATACCATCAACAACCTTTTCCAGCTTCAATATGTGATTGACATTGCAGTGACCAAGAATCTTGTGCCAATCGTCAACAGAGTATGCACCAGTTTTAGAATTGATAGTGTTATTTAGGAAGAATAAGTTCCCCTGTTTAGAGATAGGAAATTTGGTCCCATCTGGTGCATGCATCTCTGATGAGTCCGGCCCAAAATTTACAGAAGCACCTTTCTCGTCGGCTGACCCTACTGAAAATATGTTCTGTTCGTAAGACGGAATATACAATGCATTTTCTAGTATTATATCATGAGATTTACCATCAGAATCATGTATAGTTGTACTAGCAACACCTTTACCTCTAACTATACCGCTTGTCCGGCTACCATCGGCAAGCTCAATGAGGTGATACACTCTCGTCAAGATCTATAAACTTTGACTTGTCTTTGAAAATGTGTGACGTAGCACCTGTATCGACTAACAATGCATTTTCACTTATTTGAACACTGTTAGCAGAGTCTAGATCAACACCAACTTTAAAAACAAAAGAATGTTTCTGTTCATTTTCACCACTAGATGTCGCTGCTGTTTTAGCGCTGTCCTGTCGAATCTTCTTACTGCGGCACTCACTCGTGTTGTGCGATTTCTTCTTACAGTTTTCGCACCAACGACTGCGACCCTGCCCTTTGGGTTTTTGCGATTTGCTGCTTTTACACTCTGGAGATTTGTGGCCAGGTTTGCCACAAGCATAGCAGACGATCGATGAACCTTTGTTGGCCATGTGCATTACACTGTCCTCACTGGGGTGAGTGAGGGAGGATTTTGAAGCCTTTTCAGTCTCCTCGTGGCTCCTGAGGGCTTTCTTAAAGTCACTGAAGGTCATCACTGATTCACGTTGCACGAAAATTGTAGAGAACGTTTTGTACTCTGGTGGTAGACCCTTCAGCACCATAGCTATTAGAAGAGAGTCACTAACAGTCTCTTTGGCCTGTTTGAGGGATTGGGCGGCTGTCTCTGCACGGAGAACATAGTCAGTTACAGTTTCACTAGGGGGCATCTTTAGAGATGTAAGTTCAGTATATAATGCCAAGATGCGTGGCTTACCGGTACCCAGGTAATGTCCTCTTAGTATCTGGAGTGCTTTCCTACCATTATCTGGAGCCTCATTTAGTACTAAGGATAAACTTCGGTCATCTAAACACTGGATCAATTCAGCAAATGCCACTGCATTGTTCGCCGAGTCATCTTCCTCTGGCTCTACGCCTCCTGGAGGAAGGATGGTAGCATGCAACTTTTGTATACGCATGTACCCTAAAAACTTTGCTTCCCATAGCTTATATCTGCTTTCTTCACCATCAAACAGTATACGCTGCCTGGGCCCATAACCTGTTGCACTCATATTTACTATTTGGAGTAATGGTGGATGAGCTTTTAGTCAAGAT